CATAGATGTTGCAGGCACCGGACTGTGCCTGCCAGCCGGAAAAAGGACTCGTAGAAGAGCTGGTGCTGCTGCAAAGAGAGGAGGGGAGAGAAAAAACATGAGCATCAGCTGGTTTGGGGGCTTTTCCTTATTAAGCCAAACAAGCCGGAGACGTTTTTGCGATGAAGTTCTAAGGGGGGGGAGGTAAGAAACCCATCGGAGATGTTTGCCTGTGGGTTAGGGGTCCATGCTCTCTCACTGCTGCTGCCAGTGAAGGCTGGGTGAGGAATTCTCGTATGGATGTGCAGGTGAAGGCCAGCCTCACCGCAGGCGCTTTTTGGGGACGATGCCTCCATGCCCACCGGCAGAGCATCCCCGCAGAAAGCCTTGGAGCTGACGTAGAAGAGACCCGCTTGCTTCTAAGACGGGGAAGCAAAGCAGGATCGGTCTGTGAAGCCTTAGTTTGGAACAAAAACAATTTCACCTGTCCCCTAAAATCATAGAGTCATAGAATCTTAGAAAGTTTTGGGTTGGAAGGGACCCCTAGAGGTCATCTAGTCCAACCCCCCCGCAGCGAGCAGGGACACTGCTAACTAGATCAAGGGTGCTCAGAGCCCTGTCCAACCTGGTCTTGAATGTTTCCAGGGAAGGGGCACTGAAGAGCTTTACTTGCATGTCGGCAGCCGGCCCCCTCGCAGCCAAGCTGACCAAAGACCTGCGGGACTGATCCGGGATCACTCCAACAGCAGGCTGGCCGTACCTGTCGCACGGCTGGGGACAAGCTTCTCAAAAGAAAAATGAGTGGCACGGGCTTCTGCCGGGCAGCGGTCTGGCTCCAGGGTTGCTTCCAGACATTGGGACGGTATTTTGTCATGGGCCAGGGGCAGGAATGAGGGTTTTGGTGTTGATGGAGCTGAAGGGATGCAAAGCTCCTGAGATGAATTGGGTGTGCGGTGGTGCTCCCACGACTATTCTTTGTTTTTCCTCACCCAGCTGAAGTCTGGATGGGGGAAAAAAACCTTTTGGTGGGTAAAATACCTTCCCTGGGGCTCAGCCATTCTTGACAAATGGCCAGAACCGTCTCACCTGAAACACCTCCTCCGGCACGGCCTCGGCCCACTTCTCGGAGACGGGGATTTGCGAGTAGGAATTGAAGAGGACTTCAATGATCTCTGGCACGGCCGCACAGGACTTCAGCACCTAGTCATGGGCAACAAGGGGGGTTCAGGCAGAGGTGCATGTCCCAGAGGGACAGAGCATCCACCTGCTGCAGCCGGGACGCGTCCCACCCCACCGCGGTCCAGGCTGGGATGGTCCCCGTATGAGGCAGGTGTAGGGTTTGTCCTGGCATGCTTTGGAGACCTTTCTACATCTGCAAACTGGTGAGAAGACCTGCTTTGCTGTGGCACTTCTTCTTCTGGATGTGGCCCTTGCTTCTTATTTACATTTTTGGCTTGTGCGGGCTAAGCCAGGATAATATTTTCTTTATTGTTTGATGTAAAATCAATGAAACGCAGAGCCATAAGAAGGCTGTGCTGCTGGCTGATGTACCAAGCTGGTCTTGCCTGTCTCTGACATCCCCTGGCAAGAAAAAATCTTCATTCCTGGTCCCCCCGGCCTGTGCTGGCTCCGTCCTGCCCTTCATCCTGCCCGCTTCTCCCTGCCACCACCCCGTGTGGGTGTTCTCCTTTCCATCATTCGCAGCAGGATCCCCAACCTCGATGCCATGGCCCCAAACCCTCCCAACCCCCCAGCCTTTTATTTCCCGAAGCGCCCGACCCCAACTGCGAAACCCCCCATGTGAGGGATGTACCGGGGGGGACTGTTTCGGGGTCCGTACCTTGACGAAGGCGGGGGGCCATATCTTCTGCGAGCCGTGGTTGAGCAGCAGCCG